TTTGTATTTACATGTTTTTAAAATTATTTAAAAAATTTTCGTCCTTTCATCTATGAATTAAAATTTTTTTAATTTTCTCAGAGAAATATTAATTTAATTACATAATAATTTAATTTAATTTTAATTGCATGCTTGTAAATTCATACATTTAAGAGTCATATCCTTTTCGAACAGTCATCAGGAATTAATCAATGAATAATCGTGATCTTGATCGTTAATCAATTCCTAATCGTTGTATCATAGAAGGATATTGATATCTAATGTGACACTAAAAGAAAGATATAGACTGGAAAGAAAGTTGATTACATTGTAATGTGAATGATGCTTTCATCGTTACATATTTTATTGTTATTTATAAGATTATTGTATTTATATTACTGAGAGAATGTGTGTAATTTAGCAGCGTACCTCAGAAAAATATTTAAATTTTTAAATGCTGTCATCTTTCTACGTTTCTAATTTTGAAATTCCTTGCATTGATTCCATGCTGTAGGCTGTAATGATTGAGAATGAAGTATTTTTAAAGCAATATTTTATAATAACAATTAGGCACTAAAATATCTTTCGAGATCATGCGATCTGAAAAAGTACGCATAATCAAAGATTCTCAAATAAAAGAGAGCAATAAGTATACGCTATATTTACTTTTTTTGTTATTAAGATAGTTGTTAAGTTTTATTTATTTTTTTGATAATTTCTCTGTCACGATGTGTTTCCTTCAAACATTTTATTAATAGTAAAAGATGCAACGGATATCCGGCATTAGGAATTATCCGGCACTTTTTTATTATCCGGTCGGATTGCCGAATATCATTAATATCCAGCAATACATCCGGCTGAAATTTTAAATTGAAGGTACATTATTGATGCAGAATTCTATTCTTTTAGCTGAATTTCTTACACAGTTTATGATTTTGCATAGTAATAATGGTTTATGCTAGAGCTCGGAATACTCAAGTACTCAAGTACCCGTCCGCCCGTTCCGTTATCCGTGCGTACGGATCTGAACAGGTTCCGCGGATATACGATAATTCGGATATCCGCAAAACCATGTGCAATACGGGTACCCAAGGAATCGTGAGCGAAATGAATACTCGTATCGATGCGAGTATCCGCTATTAGTATAGTTATTATAGGATTTGATCTCAAAAAAATTACCATCAGGATAAATTTTTGAACAGACCTTATTTTTGCATTAAAGGAGAAAAAAGTTTACTATTGTAGTGACCGCTAAGAAAAATAATTAAACAAATAGAGCACAAATTTTGATTTTTTGCAAATATCTCTATAAATATCAATTTTACCAAGAAAATATAAGAGAGGAAAATTAAAGAGCAGAAAATTTTACATAGAAAAGGTTCTGTAAGTTTTTGTTGTTTAAGGAAAAAATTAAAAAAAATTTTTTTCTTAAAATCGAGCTATTGACATTTTCAGTAATTTTCAAAATTTTGAGTAAAACTTAAAATTGTCATAGCTTTTCAAAAAATGACACTAGAGTGGTTTTTAAAAAAACAATTGAAAGCTTGGAATGTCTATTTTTAGACCCTGTATCAAAATTTTCTGTCATACTTCGAATTTTCATTTATTTACATAATATACATAAATATACATACATAATAATGTGAGTTATTGCGAAAAATTTGTTTAAACTTGTGCTGATTTTGGTCATCTGACATAATATTTTAAAAACATAAACAAATAAATATATATTTTTTTATAAAATGAGGGATTAGGAATATGAAGAAGAAGAGAACACTTGAGGCCAAAGATAGGAGAAAATAAGTTAAGAAAGTTTTTATTTTACAAGAATATAATTTCATATTTAAAAAAATTAATAATACATTATATAATATAGTGTAATATAACATATGGAAGTACACAAAAAATAATTAAAATTCGAAAAGAATTGAAATCAGTAACAAAATCATTTATAAAATAATAAAATAAAATACATAATACAAAATAAAATAAAATACATATAATCAATAAAATTTATTTGTTGGTCAATATATAATAAAATAAAATATATAAAGATATATATAAAGATATAATAATGCGTATTCTGCATGAAATTGTTAAAAGTTAAGTTGTTAAAAGATTTATATATTCTAATTCTTGCAAATTTTCATCTTCTTCTATATTTGAAACCATTAGGGTTTTGCAATTTTGTACTTGGCAATATTTACATATAGAAGTGCATAATAATCCTGATTTTTTGAAAGTACATCCTTTTTCACAATTTTACAATTACAGAATATCATATTTAATATAGTTTCCAATGATGACGACTTAAACATTTTTACTTCAAGCCTTTTCATTTCTTGGATTAGATTGGCTAGTTTTCCTGTCTCAAATAAATCCGCACATTCCATGTACCTATGTTGATCTTTTTACGTATTCATTCATATTGCTTTGACTTCGTTCAAATCTGTTCCCCTGGAGATCCGATTGGGGAACTATTTAAACCTCTGGAATATGTCGAGTTGAACGCAATCATGTGATTCTCTTGGAATAAGTAATAGAGATGATTTTCCATTATCTTCCTCTATGATTTTTTTATCGATATTTTCCTTTCCTTAGCTGGCTTGCTGTCGTTTCAAGGCTCAAATCTGTTCTCCCCAGAAATCCGCCTTTCGCCTTTTATCTATCTGCTGTGATTGAATCACATTGCCCGGAGCAAGTCTGATCATCTAACGTTCACGACATGAACGTTAGAGATCAGACTTGTTGGATACTGCTGATGATATGCAGTGTGGCATTACACAGCATGTTATAGATGCGCATTTTTCAGCAATCTGCGCATCACTGTGGCCATATCTAACCTTCGAATCCTTTGTATACTCTTTTGGCGGCATACAAGCTAAATTAACAGCCTTATTTTTAAAATTGTATTAACGACGCTCAATTAATTAAATTCAAAGTATATTTAACAAGAGGCTTAGAGCAATAACCAGTTATTAGTTGCTAATTTTAATAAATCTTAAATTACATAACGAAATTTATCAATACAATTGCTTCGCGAGAGCTGTTAGTAAAAATAAGGCTGTTAATTTAATTTGCCGCCTATATCAGATACACCTCGGCAGCACTTATATAGAATACATTTACAAATACAAAAATGACTTTTTGATATAAATCTTTCGGTTGAAAAATGGGGTTAAAAAAAACACTTGAACCAATAAAAATGTTTAAGCCAGTACCGGAAACTTGATTAAATATGATATTCTGTAATTATAAAATGGGTTTCGAAAAAGGATGTACTTGCAGAAAATCAAGATTATTATGCACTTTTATATGTAGCTATTGCTAAATACAAAATTGTAAAAACATAATATAGGTTCCAAATATAGAAGAAAATGAAAATCTGCAAGAATTAGAATGTGTATAAATTACTTTTAACAGCAATATATCAGAATATGCATTATATCTTATATATATCTTATATATGTATATTTTATTTTATATTGACTAACAAGTAAATTTTATTATTATATGTATTTTATTTTATTATAATTTATAAATGATTTTTGTGATTGGTTTCAATTCTTTTTGAATTTTAATTATTATTTGTGCCCTTCCATATATTATATTACAATATATTATATATTATTAATTTTCTTTTAAATATAAAATTATGTTTGTTAGCATTTGAATCACGGATGTTCCCACGTTCCTTTTTTCATTATTTTAATTTTCTAATTTGTGTGAGTTAGCAATAGTAGATTCATGGCGATTTATGTATAGTTCCGTTTCAAGCATGTACGAAAGTTAGCATAATAAAAACCATTCATTAAGCAGTTTGAGCAGCATCATTGCATAATTATATACAATCTATCACCAAACATATTTGTCCATACGAGCCGAATAGATTGACGACTCACAAGAAGAAAATTTTGGAAACTCATGGGCACGAGCATTCGAATATATCGCAACATAACGCATTAAAATCACAATATCGAAAAACCACAGCAAGCATATTAAAGCATTTCGAGAATTTCAGCATTAACCATAAGGAGTTCGCGTAAGCAGTGGATCAACGATAAGCGATATAACGACACTCGTCATAAGCACAAGTAACGTTAGGGTAGCCTACAGCAAACCACAAGAAAAGCAAACGAGCGATGCAATTAACGTGAGAAACACGATTTACACAATAAATAAAGTATTAGACACATATCCTCCCGTTCGTAGTTAATCAAACTAGCGTGACTAACGATAACAAAAAAATAACGAGAAATAACGAGAAATTGAATTTCAATAACGAGAAATTGAAAGGTCTTAACGACAATGAGGGACGATGAAAGCAAAACTCATGTTATTCTGAATGTTCTTAGAGACGTTAGTATCCAACCGCGATAACATAGAAGAGCATGAAATCATAAATTTAGAGCAACAATTTGACAGAATCAAAAAATTAATCGTAGATTATGAAGCATGTCAAGAGGAAATCTTACAGCTAGCGGACGGTGGCGCGGTAGAAGAAGCAAAGAGCCGAGTTCGAAGCGAATTTTTATCAAGCGACAGCTAAAACACAAAAACTCATAACGATTTAAAACCGGATACGGACGAGAGCATCAAAGCGGAATCGGAGACGTCACGAAGTACATCGTAAAGTTAAACTCCCGCAGTTCGATGGATTATATGACAAATGTCAAAATTCCACGATATGTTTAAATCGTTGACAAGCAAATAGACATGATTGCAAAGTTCTAATATTTACAGGGATCATTCTCAGGTAAAGCATTAATGATACTCGACGGACTCGACGTTTCAGAAGCTAACTACGAAGCAGCATGTGAACTGCTAATCAAAAGATACGAAAAACAAAGGTCTGATGATAGCATATTGAAGGAATTATCAAATATCCGAGATTAATGAAGGAAAGTTATGAATCTTTACGGAAATTGGTAGACGTCATGCAGGATCATATACGTGCGCAATAGAGCAACCCATAGAAAAATAAGATTGTCTATTGATATACTTGATTTCAGGCAAGCATTATGTCCTCCAAGAACGAATGGGAGAAGGAAATACTAGAACAAGAGTTGCTCGATGGACAAGGTTTCTTTAATTTTCTAAAAAAGCGTCAATTATTAGAAAAGACAAGTAAGCATGCAAAAGCAGCAGGTGAAACGCAATCGACACGATCAACAAATAAGCATAAGAATAATTCAACGGCGGTCTCACACACTAGCGTAAACAAAGAAAATTGTATGCTGTGTGGGGAAGATCATGCAGTATACGCGTGTAAATTATTTCTGGAGATGTCAGTAAGCACTCGAATAGAACAAACAAAGGAAAGAAAGGCATGTTTGAATTGCCTAAGGCTCGGTCATATAGCAATAAATTGCAAGTCGCAGAAATGCCGTAAATGCGGAAAATCTCACAACACTCTTTTACATTTGGGAGAGACTGCGAACGGCGAAAGAGTACACGAGGATGAAAAGGAAGCTCCCAAAGGACAAGATGCCAATGATAAAGTAAAAGAACTCGTATCAACGGACGTCACGACCAAAAAACTGATTCATCGTGTATTACCTACCGCAATCGTGGAGATTGTCGGCAAAAATGGACAGACGCACAAATGCAATATACTTTTAGACTCAGGCTCACAGTTCAATTTTACTGCTCGTTTGTGCAGCAAGTTAGGACTCCGCATTATGAAAGCGGATATCTCCTTAGCCGGCGTAAATCAAGTCGAGACCAAAGTTTTGGAAACAACAAAAGCGATAATCAGATCCATGCATAGCGACTTCAAAGAAAAACTCATGTTCATGGTGATTCCTAAAATCACCGCGTGTTTGTTTAGCAAACCGTTAAAATTCCAAAAAAACGGACACCACCAATGGACGGATATCCCACTTGCGCACCCGAATTTCTACAAACCAAAGAAAATCGATTTGCTGATTTGATCGATTCGATTTATTCTGAGATTTAATCTGTTACGAGCCATCAGACATCCTTATTTATACAAGACGAAGTTGGGACATATTATTGTTGAGAAACTACCGCTGAGAGACAATCCAGGTTCCAAAGCAAGGTGTCATTTAGCTGTCAACGGACATAACATCTCATAATATTTAAAACGTTTTTGGAAGGTGGAAGAACTTCCGCCAAAACACATTTTCTCAGCAGAAGAACAGGCATGTGAACTACACTTCAAGGAAACTACTAAATAAAACTTCGATGGCAGGTTCATTGTCAGTATACCATTCAAGGCATTCAATAGAAGAATTCTCATGAGATAACAGAACAGCGTCTTAGATTATTGAAGCGAAGGTTGCAAAGAAATAAGGAGATGCGAAACGAATACATCACGTTCATACGCAGATACGAAGAGTTTGGCCAGATAACTAGGGTCACCGACTCCGACCGATTATCTGGCTCATCACGGTATGATAAAAGAAAGTAGCCTTACAACGAAGTTAAGCATTATTTTTAACGCTTCCGCACCAACTTCAAACAACGTATTAATTAATGACTTGCAAATGGTTGGATCCACTATCCAACAATCTCTTATCTATTCTTCTAAGTTTTAGATAGCATCCCTATATTGTAGGCGCGGACACTCCATCTTATCATTAATAGCCCGACTATTCGATCCATTGGGTCTTCTCAGCATCATACTTACAAAGATGATGCTACAACAATTGTGGAAACTGAAGCTTCCTTGATATGATCCACTTCTAACTGAAATACAATCCGAATGGATGCAATTCACAAGCGAACTTATCATGTTCAACGATTTACGCATTTCTCATCAGATTTGTTGTGAATCTCCGTAACTCGTTGAGATACACGGATACTCAGACGCGAGAAAAGGCCTATGGAATGTGCATATACGTCAAATCGATGGACGCTACAGGTACGACGTTCGTTAAATTATTATGCGAAATCGAGAATTGTATCAGTGAAGGAGTTAACAACGCCAAAATTAGAACTAATGGCGGTGCATCTCGTGACAAAATTGATGTCTAAAGTGATGATGTTAGTGAGCCTAAAAATATGTGTTATTGACTAAATCATTGTTTTGAGATAGATACAAATGGAACCATATCAACTCCAGATATTTGTTCGCAATCGGATGGTTAATATACAAGTATTATCATTCGCAAAAAGTTGAAGACACGTCCCATCTATCGATAACCCAGCAGACTTGGTATCACGAGGAGTGTCACTAAAGGCACTAGCAAAACGATGGCTATGATGGATCACATTGGTTAAACGGACCCAAAAAATGATGGTCCAAGCAAGATTACGACGAAGTCTATGATCCATCCGCTACAGAGATGACAGCAATAGTATCCAACGCTCTGCACGATGTGATAGCAACACCTGATATTATCAAGTTCACGGATCATATTAAATTGGAGAAATTAACAAGAATAATAACATTTTACCAAAAATACATCAATATTCTTTCGTGCAAGGGTCCCCTCATGACAGAGGAAATACAACAAGCAACAATCACATAAAATTAACGCAGCGGGAATCATTTTCGAAAGAAATCCAAACTTTATCTATAGAAAAATCGTTGAACCTACGCAGCAAAATATACAGCTTAAATCCATTTCAGCATGGAGATAATACACTACATGAGAGAGGTCGCTTAGAGCGCTCAAACTTCGAATTTGATAAAAGACATCCAATGATACTCTTGTCCAAACATCATTTAACTAATATAAGCCATTGTTCGAAAGTGAATATAGGCGATTTTTGCATGTTCAAGTCCTATTGACGCAGATAAGGGAACAATATTAGCCAATCGTAAGTCGAAACTTAGCCCGTCAAGTTGTACAGCGGTGCATATGATGCTTTCGTAGCAAGCCCAGAGCAATTGAACCTCAAATGATCGATTTGCAGTGCGATCGTGTTATCTTGGCCCCGACATTTCACATACTGGCGGTGAATTACGTCAGACTCATCAACGAAAGACTGCAAGGGACGAGGTAGCCAAACTTATAAATCTTACATATAATATATTTATTCATTTGCCTGACAACCAAGGTCATACACTTGGAATTGGTCTCCGATCTCACGATGGAAGGGTTCATATTGGCTATGCGCAGATTCGTAACATGCCGAGGTCTACCTAAAAAGATATCATCCGACAATAGTATTAATTTTGTTGGAGCACATCAACTGAGTTACATCAACTAGAAGAATTTCTCATTGAGAATAAGAACTCATTGCGAAACCATCTGATGTCTGAGAAGATTAATTGGAACTTCATTCCATCATATTCTCCACATTTTGAAAGTATCTGGGAGGCGGGAGTGAAGTCCCACTTGAAACATGTCATGGGAAACGCGTTATTAACCTTCGAGGAGTTTTACAGTTTCTTGGTACAGAATTAATCCTCAATTCACGACCCTTGTCCTCTCATCCTTGCAGCCGTTGACTCCAGCCCATTCTCATCAAACATCCATTGTGACCATCGTACCTGATGTGACTGACATCAAGGAATTTCGTCTCGATATCAATAGATTCAGCAAATTCAACAGAATTTTTGGAAACACTGGTCTAAGGAATTCATTTCCGAGTTGCATGTCGCGCCAAGGAAAATAAATCAAAATACTCAAAACGGATGACTTGTTGATAAAGGACAATCATATGCCGCCTCTACGCTAGCGATTTGGCCGAGTCGTTGAATTGCATCCAGGAATAAATTCAATAGCACGTGTGACTATTATGCGGATCGCTAAGGGATTGATTTGTCGTGCATCATAAATTGTGCTCTTTACAAATAGAAGCAACATCAAATATTATGGACACTGTTCTACCTGACATGGAACCCAACGAGCAATACACAATTGACAATTGAACTATCTCTTTTGCTAATTTTTATCATTGTTCATTCCTCTAATATTTGCTCGAATCTAGTCAATCCGTTAATCATAATACGCATCAATAAGACATTCTGTAAGACATTTTCATTTATCAATACTGTAAGTTTACATTGATAGTAGTTAAAAGATTTTTGATCTTCCAAGACGGGGAGTATGTTAGTATTTGAATTACGAATGTTCGCGCGTTCTTTCTTTATTTTAATTTTCTAATTTGCGTGAGTTGGCAGTAATAGTAGATTCAATATGGCGATTTATATATAGTTTCGTTTCAAGCATGTAAAAAAGTGAGCATAATAAACGAGATTCAATAAGCAGTTTTGAGTAGCATCATTGTACAACTATATACAGTGCACATCACCAAACAATGTTCTTGTAAAATAAAAACCTTTTTAACTTATTTCCCCCTATCTTTGGCCCCCCCAAACGCTCTCTCCTTCCCCCCAATATTCCTAATCATTTTATAAACCTATTACACCGTGCGACAGCATTTTTCACACATGAAAAACTCAAATTTTCCATGAAAGTAGAGATGAAATCAAGTATCAACGTATGTTTAATTTGATATCAAATTATTTGCAATTTTTGTGTATGTTCTAAGTTTAGAGGAGATCACTTCGTCTACGACACAAGATGAAATTTTACGATTGACTGAAAATTATATATTTCCATAAAATTATGTATTGTATTTCCATGTAAAATTAATCGTTGAATGAAAAAATAATCAAATTTAAGCGATTGAAGTAGAGCAAAATATTAGGTGTTGGAATTAATTCGTAGCGTTTTTTAATGAAAGAATGTTATTTATTTCACATGAGCATTAAAAAATACATTAATGAAAGTACTTCCCATCACTTGTAAAACGCTACGAATTAATTCCAACACCTAATAATTAAAAAATTCATTTTTAGAAATTCATTTAGAATTCATTTTGAAAATCGCTCAAATTTCTTCATTTTCGATCTTTCTATGACTTTGTTTGAATATTAATGAATTTTGAGAAAATGTATTTTGCATGGCTTCATTTAAAACCAACATTTGTTACTCATTTTTCTAACAAAATAAAGGAAATTAAATTTGAAGTTATTAAAATTAAGTTTTTCAAATTTTCAAGTTAAAAAATTTATTAATTGAATCTTATTTTCGTGTTTCCATGCGAGCATAGCATGATGATTACACGCAACCTCCGGCACGTACCATAAATTCGGCATACATAAGACATAACAAAATAACCTTCAAAACCTTCCACAAAGCTTTTCGATATATTGCTCAAATATTTTGGTGGCGCATATAAATCGCACAAATTGTAAAAGTTATTACGATACGGACACTGCATTTTTCTTTTGTTTTTTAATTTTTTGCTTCATCAACTTGTTTTACTTTTGTTTTAGGCTCTGTTCTGAAAATGCTCATAATACTTGTGAGCATTTGTTTAACATTTGATAAACGACAAGGATAAAATGATTCGTAAGCATTGTAATTGGATCGCGGTGTTAACTTCAAGAAAAATGTGTTATGACTGCTTTTATAGAAAGGTTATCGAAAATTTTGAGTAATTTTTAGTTAAAAACACATATTTTCACCATTCTCCTTTATTCCCGCTTTATTTATCATTTTCTCATTCAGCGACTAATTTTGCATGAAAATAGAGGAGACCGGGGTCAGTTGAATAGAGGTAAGTAGAATAATCGAGGCTACATTAAAAACAAAACACGCGAGACATGCGTAAACGTGTCTGAGCACGCAGCAGCGACTGCTGCTAAAATCTGCCGTAACATCTTGTTGTGAACACATCTATGATAGAAATTTTGCCACAATTTTAAAAAATCGTACACCTAAGTAAATATTTTTATTCTTAAAATTTTTGTTTTACAATCGTATATGATTGTCTGATATATTTGATTTCTATTTAGATAGTGTAATTCTTACTTAATAAAGTCCAACAGTTTTTTTTTGTTTATGTGCCTTTATTGTTAATGTTTTTAAATAATGAGCGGACGGGGATAGTAGACTAACCACAGCATGGAACTGTATGACGATTTTTATAGTACTTATACAAAATTTTA